TTTGTTTTCCATTCTTTAATTGTTCTTTATTTTTTATTTTTGCAAGAGTTTTTTAAACAAATTTATTGGAGTATAATTGCTTTACAATGGTGTCTTATTTTCTGTGTATAACAAAGTGAATCAGCTCTGTGCATACGTATATCCACATATCCCCACCCTCTTTTGCCTCCCTACCACCCTCTCTATCCCTCCCTTCAAGGTGGTCACAAAGCACCGAGCTGATCTCCCTGTGCGATGCAGCTGCCTTCCACTAGCTATCTATTTTACGTTTGGTAGTGTATATATGTTAGTGCTACTGTCTCACTTTGTCCCAGCTTACTCTTCCCCCTCCCTATGTCCTCAAGTCCATCCTCTACATCTGCTTCTGTATTCCTGTCCTGCCCATAGGTTCATCAGAACCATTTTGGTTTTTTTTAGATTCCACATATATGTGTTAGCATATGGAATTTATTTTTCTGCTTCTGACTTACTTCACTCTGTATGACAGACTCTAGGTCCATCCACCTCACTACAAATAACTCAATTTCATTTCTTCTTATAGCTGAGTAATATTGCATTGTATATATGTGCCACATCTTCTCCATCCATTCTCCATCTGTCGATGGTCACTTAGGTTGCTTCCATGTCTTGGCTATTGTAAATAGTGCTGCAATGAACATTGTGGTACATGACTCTTTTGGAATTATGGTTTTCTCAGGGTATATGCCCAGTAGGGGGATTGCTGTGTCATATGGTAGTTCTATTTTTAGTTTTTTTAAGGAACCTGCATACTGTTCTCCATAGTGGCTATATCAATTTACATTCCCACCAACAGTGCAAGAGGGTTCCCTTTTCTCCACACCCTCTCCAATATTTATTGTTTGTAGATACTTTGATGATTGCCATTCTGACTGGTGTGAGGTGATACCTTATTGTAGTTTTTATTTGCATTTCTGTAGTGATTAGTGATGTTGAGTATTCTTTCATGTGTTTGTTGGCAATCTGTATATCTTCTTTGCAGAAATGTCTCTTTAGGTCTTCTGCCCATTTTTGAATTGGGTTGTTTGTTTGTTTTGTTATTGAGTTGCATGAGCTGCTTGTAAGTTTTGGAGAGTGATCCTTTGTCAGTTGCTTCATTTGAAACTATTTTCTCCCATTCTCAGGGTTGTCTTTTCGTCTTGTTTATGGTATCCTTTGATGTGCAAAAGCTTTTAAGTTTCATTAGGTCCCATTTGTTTATTTTTGTTTTTATTTCCATTTCTGTAGGAGGTGGCTCAAAAAGGATCTTGCTGTGATTTATGTCATAGAGTGTTCTGCCTATGTTTTCCTCTAAGAGTTTGATAGTGCCTGGCCTTACATTTAGGTCTTTAATCCATTTTGAGTTTATTTTTGTGTATGGTGTTAGGAAGTGTTCTAATTTCATTCTTTTACATGTAGCTGTAACCCTGACAGCTTCTTTTATATCTTTTTTTCTTTTTCTGGAGATTTTTAATAGGATCCCAAGTTTGCAGCTCATATTTGAGAACTTGTTTGTGTGCTGTTGTGATTTCCTCCTCATAGCACCCCTCCCCATAGCCTGGTTGTATAATACTCAATAGCGTGTTCCAGTTTACCATTGGACATTTGAATCCAAAGAAGTTGGAGGAAGCACAAAAGCCCAACGTGATGGCAGCAGCAAAAACATCTTTTTAAAGCTAAATGGCTTGATGAGGCATACTCTTTGGACCAGGAGATCAAATGTGGAGGGATAGATTTGTTATTTCCCTGCTTTCCTCCTAGCAGGCAGAATTGAATATAAACTCTGAGAAGGGTAGCATTTCCCTTGTCCTCTCCCTTGATGTGCTCAGGGCACAACCCCACATCAGGTAATCAGCCTATAATTAGAATGAGGTGCTGGGCATTGGGATATTGAAATGAATGAGATGTAGCCTTGGCTATCCAGTGAGGGCAAGTATGTTCCAGGCAGAGGAAACAGTGTGAGCAAAATTCTGGAAGAATGGAAGAGAACAGAAGGCATGTGGAGGAGTGGGAGGTGGGAAGAGATTGCACTTGAGGGGTCAAGGCAAAGAACTATGTAGTGCAGTGGGGCAGAGAGGGCAAAGTCTGATTGCTCTAAACTCTGAGAGGTCCCTCTACCTTACATGAGCTTATTTCGTGTTCTCAGGCAGCCATGTGATTTGAGCCAAACAGGAACCTTTGAATTAGCCCCATTGTCTAAATGAGGAAAAGATTGTGATTAAGCTACTTCTGAAGGAAGTGAGTTGATGGCAGCACTGGGCCCAGAACTGAAGTCTTTGAGGTTCTTACCTTAGAAATTTCCAAGGCAGCTGCTTGTTCCATTAAGGGATCATTATTTTGCTGTGGTTTGATGGTTTAGAGCATGGACTTTTGAGTGACTCTCTCCTGGATTCTGCCACTTTCGGCATATTACTTCCAATTTCTCTGACACTGGTTTGGGGACAAATAACACTACATCCCTTATTGGGTTGTGAGTATTAATAGGAATATGTGGCACAGGATTTAGGGTACACAGTAATAATCAAGGTAATAACTGTCACTATATGGAGCTTACAGTGTGATGTGTACTTTTGTAAACACTTTATATATGTTAACTTATATAATCCTTACCGCAGCCAAATGAGGCTGGTAATGTTATTATCATCATTTTAAAGATGAGGAAACAGAGGAACAGAGAAGATGAGTTAACTGACAACAATCACCTTGGTGAGCATAGAGGTGTATTTTTTCAAGTTTTTTTTTTTTTTCTTGGTTGAGTGGCACCAAGTGGCATTTTATGGCAAGTACTTAAAACAGAATTGATAGAATTGGGTTGCTCCTAGCTGGTGCAGTGTGTAGACCAGATGCCACTGAGTAGTCCTCCTGGTCTGATCATTCTCAGCTTAGCAAGTTGTGCCTTTAAAAGTCATCCTGGCCATCTTTGTATAGCATTGGCCCCCTTTATAGCGTTCTTTCACTTCATACATATTCAAAATGGACTGTAGTACATCTTCCTGGCCTGCCTCAAGCTGGGGCATGGCCGACTGGTACCACGTTCAGCTTCCCATCCCTCCAACAGGAAAACCTTGCATGACCCCCACACTCTGAGGGATTCTTCTCCTAACACTGGGCCTCCAGAGGTTCTGTGCTAGTATGTGGGCCCCTCAAGGAGGAGTGTTTACCAAAGTTCCAGGGAACCCCTGAGGTGTAGTCTGGAGTCACACTAGTATCTCTGAGCTTTTTTTTTTTTTTAACATCTTTATTGGAGTATAATTGTTTTACAGTGGTGTGTTAGTTTCTGCTTTATAACAAAGTGAATCAGCGATACATATACATATATCCCCATATCTCCTCCCTCTTGCGTCTCCCTCCCACCTTCCCTATCCCACCCCTCTAGGTGGTCACAAAGCACCAAGCTGATCTCCCTGTGCTATGCAGCTGCTTCCCACTAGCTATTTTACATTTGGCAGAGTATGTATGTCCATGACACTCTCTCACTTCATCCCAGCTTACCCTTCCCCCTCCCTGTGTCCTCAAGTTGAGCTTTCTTTTTGAGGTTGTATTATTAGAAAATATTTCCATTGAGCTCCCCTTTTTCTTCCCATCCCTTAGACTGAAAAAAAAGTGATATGCTCAAGAATACAATTTCCTGCTACCCTTCTCTTTGGGCCACTGCCCTGCCTAGACTGTTTACCTCTGATTGTTTCTGGGAAGATGTGGGAACCCCCATCTCTAAACTTGACTTGAAGCTTTTCAGTACAAGGCTGAGACCTTAGCATTAGAGTATCAGGGCTAAGACCTTAGAGATCATCCTCACATACCTCATTTAACAGCTGGAAACCTGAGACCCAGAGAGAGGAAGGGACTGACTCTCCAGTGACTTTTTGACCTAGAGACAGTATAACATAGTGGCAAAAGTGAGCACGCTCTATGGAGCTGCAGACTTGTGGTTGGATTGTGGATCTTTGGCTAAGTAGTTGGGTGACTGTGGCTGATCACTTGACTTCTTTGTACCTCAGACTATAAAGATGACAGCAAGACTATCTACCTCCCAGGGCTACTGTGATGCTCAGAAGAGACAGAGTGAAAGTATGTAGTACAATGTCTGATCCCTGTAGGTGCTCAATAAGTATTAATTCTCCTGAGTCAGGGGGCCACTTCTTTTTGTCCCCATGGTTTGCCTTGCATTCCATGAGTTCTGAGCATACCTATATTAGACTCCTTTGCTGACATGTAAGCTCCTCGATAACAGGGCCAAGTCTGGCTTGACATCTGAGATAGCCCCCCACATATCAGAGTTCCCATAAATAAGAGGCCCTTGGAAACTCTGTAGAATAGAATTAGCTAGGTGTTAGGTGTTTTTGGTGTGTGTGTCTGATTCTACATAGCAAGAAATATAAGCAAGTTATTCAGGCTTTCTGGATAACAGACCAAGGTGATGAAATTTCCTGTTTAATCAGTAGATTTTAATGAACTGAGAAAGGAAGGAAAAACAATTTTAAGAGGGTGAATGGATTCTCTTTCTCTCCTTGAAACATCATCTCCTTCTTGTCCTTCCCTCTCTTGCTTTACTTGTCTGTGAAGCAGAGAGACTTCTAGCACCTGCTCAGGCTTTACTCTTCAGATACAAGAAAGAGACTAAAAGTCTAGAACTAGGATGAAAGATTGGAGCAGAAAGAGAGATTTAGAGAAAAAGAGAGCGAATAAGAGAGAGAGAGACAGATAGACAGACACCTCATGGCAGCTGGTGCCTCTAGAGCCAGAGAGCAACTGGCAAAGAAGGACTATAGCAGTCCTGGGTAGTGGGGCTCATTTGGCCTCAGGGTAAACAAGAGTATGGGTCTTTATAGCTCATGAAGCCTTTCAGGGATTCCCAGAGGTCCCTCCCTCCATCCTTTCTTCCTCACCAGGCCCTTTCTGTCCTCCTCCTGTCCCAGCCTATGCCCAGGTCTAGGTGCCTCCAGGCAAGTGAAGGGGCCATCCCTCCTGCCTGGCTGCCTCTCACTATCACATGTCCTTCCCAGGGCGAGGACATCCTAGACAGGAGCTCGGAGCTGATCTACACTGGGGAGATGGCGTGGATCTACCAGCCCTACGGCCGCAACCAGCAACGGGTCTTCTTCCTGTTTGACCACCAGATGGTCCTCTGCAAGAAGGTAACCCCACCCCTTTCTTCCCTGAGAGAGATGGGCACCCCAGGGGGCACCAGACCCTTCCTCTCCATCATCCCCAGTTCCCAACAAAGTGGGCTAACCCTGCTGGGCAAAAGCAAGACAAGATATTGGCAGCAATTCCATATCAGAATCACTGGTATGGCATGAATATCACAAGCAGGGCTGGCTTATGGGCAGTGAAATTCTGAAATTGGTAAAGTTTGTGTTGGTATCTTTTATACACTTTTCCCTCCTGCCCTTCATGGCGATCTTTCTCACTCTTTTCGACCCAGAGTTGATAGCCTGCTGATTTGCACCAGTTGCGAAAAATATTGAAATATTTCTATCCCAGTTGGTGAATAAGTGGCTTCCCTGAGCACCTCCCCCCATTTCTACTCTAATGGCTTTGACCATCTGGCCCCTTACTGCCCTAGGAACCAACAAGGGCCCTCCTACTTTACTCTTACAGGTAAGGTGCCTTACCCTTGTGATACAGGAATTTTCCCTGTCCCCCTACCCATTTTCTATACAAGTTGTGTCACATCCCTATAACTCTCAGCTGTGCTCTTCTTTACCCTCTCTTCTCTGTAATCCATTTCAGAAAAGGTCTTGCTCTTGTGATTAACTCAGCATGAGTGTTTGTTTCTTGGTATCTTCTCCTTGGCAGGCAGGAGGATGGCATATGTTCTCAGCCTGATTCCTCCTGATGGGATACTGTTTCCTCCACCTCCTCCCTTAGGATAGGGAGTTCAGATCACTTTTAGTTCCAGGGACTGGCTGGGAAGAATTTGGGACCAGGGAAAGTAAAAGAGGAGGGGAAAAACAAAGAATGCTTAAAGTGACTTTTTATTTATTTATTTATTTTGCGGTACGTGGGCCTCTCACTGTCGTGGCCTCTCCTGTTGCGGAGCACAGGCTCCGGACGCGCAGGCTCGGCGGCCATGGCTCATGGGCCCAGCCGCTCCGCAGCATGTGGGATCTTCCTGGACCGGGGCATGAACGCGCGTCCCCGCATTTGCAGGCGGACTCCCAACCACTGCGCTACCAGGGAAGCCCTAAAGTGACTTTTTAAATTCACCATCCTACCCTTGGCTCTTTCTCCATAATCCATTCCCTTTGTTCTCTTCCTCACCAAGTAGCAAATACCTCTGAAAGGGAATACTAAATCATGAAGCACCAGGTTAAACACTGTCATCTTTTCCAGCGTGGAACAGGAACCACACATTTGTTTTTAAGCCCCCTGTTCTCTGTGTATACCACATCTTGCATTAAATCTCTGGCTATTTGCCTTTGACAGTGGATTGAGGGAACGAATTAAGTTTCCAGTCGAACTACCTCAATATTTGAGAATAAGCTTTAAGTGCCAGCTCTAGAACTGATAGCTTGCTAGTTAATGGAGAAAATTACTGCCTTGGTCTGGACCTCGCCCTGGAAGAGAGAACTTTTATGAATCTGGAACTTGGCCAAACACCCAGCCCTCTTATTATCTACCCCCAACTCTTCCTTAGACGTCCATCAAATCAGGAGGCAGGATTTTTGAGGGTTAACTTATGTAGCCAAGGAAATTCTCAGCATATCAGTCATGTCACCAATAGGCATGTGCTCATTCTTCCCACTGAGCCCTGCTTACACTCAGAACAAGCAGTTGTAGAGAGACACAGAAAAGAGATTAGGAAGCTGATTTATTTTACCGTTGCCCACCACTCACACTCTGTTAATTTAAGCATCTCTAAGCCAAGGCTGAGATTACTTTAAGGAAAATGTGAAACTCAGCTCTGCAAAGTAGTAGCTATAGGAGACAGGGCCAGGAGCCAGAACACAAAATAGTGAGGCAAAGGCTAGAAATAAAGGGAAGAAACAACATGGACAGTGAGCTAAGTTTAGGAGCCAGGGGACAGCAGAAAACTAAAATGGAATGAGAATCAGCTCCAGGCCAGCTAGTAGAAGCCAGTGATTAAGGAGAAACCAGAAGCCAAGCCAGCCAAGCGGGCAGGATGGGCGTAGCAGGCAAAAAGGATGACAAAAACAAGAGAAACCTTGAAGCTAGCATAGCTTTCTTCCAATGGGAGCCTTCTTGTTCTAGCAAGAACCATGGCCTCCCCTTCCAGAAAAAAGCTATCCACATACCTGGGCTTTCTTGACTCTGGTTTCTCAGAGCATGAGAAGCTACAGTTTGATTTTTCAAAGCCTATTAAAACTATATCTGATGTTTGTGTTGAGGCTATTGTTGAAGATTTCTATTTGCAATAGGCCTTTCTATTCAGCAATAGGGGGTAAACATTTTTTTTTCTTTTTTTTTGCGGTACACGGGTCTCTCACTGTTGTGACCTCTCCTGTTGTGGAGCACAGGCTCTGGACGCGCAGGCTCAGTGGCCATGGCTCACGGTCCTAGCCACTCCGCAGCATGTGGGATTTTCCTGGACCAGGGCACGAACCCGTGTTCCCTGCATCGGCAGGTGGACTCTCAACCACTGCGCCACCAGGGAATCCCTGGGAGTAAACTTTTGAGAAATGACCATGGCACCAAAATAAGGTATAGAAAGAGACAAGGTCTTTGGTCTGCTGGATGGTTGAGGGACCTCTTGCCATTGCTATAAAAGCCTTTCCTCTTGAGGTAGAGCTGGAAGAAATGGATAAATCTTCCTGGATATGAAGAATCCTTTGGCAAAGGAAATCTACAGAGGAAAAGGGCCAGGACTAGAGCTGGGCGAGTAAGACACTCACCTCAGGCACAGAGTTAAAAAGGAGGCCCCAAAGCACAGTAATCCTTTTAACAGGGAAGAAAGGGGACAAGAAAGCTACGTAATCAAATGTGGCTGCATAAATCTTTCTGATGAGTTCATATATAAAAAGGAGGATGAAACATGGGCCTGTAGCAAGTGGATAGATATTCATATGTAATATTTTATATGTATAGGATATTTAATAGGAGTGACAAAGATTAGTTTCATGAATCTTGCAATGAGTTAAAGTTAGTTTTTAAAGATTCTAAGGCAATATCAATGATTTTAAAAGATCTTTTCAAAAAAAGAAGAAAAAAGAAGTGATAGTCTGTAGTCTGGCAACTCCCTTCAAGGGACAAATAATTTACTTTAACACAGGAACTTAAAACCTCTCTGTCAAGGGAAAAAGAGCATAAACCTGTTGAGGGGGAATTTAAACCTAAGGTATCTGAGGTTGTAAGAAAGCACTTCAGTGCTCTGAATTCATTCTTTCATGCTATAATTATTGAACCCCTGCTCTGTGCCAGCCAGCTCTGCCTTCTTAGAGCTTGTAGACTAATGGAATTTAAGTGTAATGTAATTTAAAAATATATACATCACTGGGCAATGAAATAATACTCAGATGTCCCCAGCAGAATTACTGTAGGTAAACTCAGCGGAGTCATGTGTTACAGGAGATCTATGACAACACTATAGATGGGAAAATGTACCAGTTTTCAAAATATAAAAGATTCTAGAAAATACAGATTGACAATAAAATAATAATGAATCAACATTTACTGTGCACCTCTATAATTCTGTTCTAAGGCTTTTACATTCATTAACTCAATTTAATCCTCACAACAAACCCATGACGTAGGTACTATTATTTTTCCCATTTTAAATATATGTAAAGTGAGGTAGAGAGAAGTTATATAATTTGCCCAAGGTGATATTATATCTAGTGAGCGATGGAGCCAGGAATTGCATCCAGGCAAGCTGACTCCAAATTCTTCATTAGTAACCTCTATGTCATTATTGCCATTGAGCTTGTCAGAATTCTATAATAGATACTTTTTAACATCTTTATTGGAGTATAATTGCTTTACAATGGTGTGTTAGTTTCTGCTGTAAACAAAGTGAATCAGCTATATGTATAAATGTATCCCCATATGCCCTCCCTCTTGTGTCTCCCTCCCACCCTCCCTATCCCACCCTTCTAGGGGGGCACAAAACACCAGGCTGATCTCCCTGTGCAATGCAGCTGCTTCCGACTAGCTATCTATTTTACATTTGGTAATGTATATATGTCAATGCTACTCCCTCACTTCATCCCAACTTACCTTTCCCACTCCCCGTGTCCTTAATTCCATTCTCTATGTCTGCGTCTTTATTCCTGTTCTGCCCCTAGGTTCTTCAGAACCTAATTTTTTTTTTTATTCCACATATATGTGTCAGCCTACAGTATTTGTTTGCCTCTTTCTGACTTACTTCACTCTGTATGACAGTCTCTAAGTCCATCCACCTCACCGCAAATAACTCAATTTTGTTTCTTTCTATTGCTGAGTAATATGCCATTGTATATATATGCCACATCTTCTTTATCCATTCATCTGTCGATGGACACTTACGTTGCTTCCATGTCGCGGCTATTGTAAGTTGTGCGGCAATGAGAATTGTACTACATGACCCTTTTTGAATTATGTTTTTCTCAGGGTATATGCCCAGTACTGGGATAGCTGGATCATATGGTAGTAATATTTTCAGTTTTTTAAGAAACCTCCATACTGTTCTCCATAGTGGTTGTATCAATTTACATAACCACAAACAGTGCAAGCGGGTTGCCTTTTCTCCACACCCTCTCTAACATTTATTGTTTGTAGATTTTTTGATGATGGCCATTCTGATGGGTGTGAGGTGATATCTCACTGTACTTTTGATTTGCATTTCTCTAACGATTAGTGATGTTGAGCATCCCTTCATATGTTTGTTGGCAATCTGTATATCTTCTTTGGAGAAATGTCTAGTTAGGTCTTCTGCCCATTTTTGGATTGGGTTGTTTTATTTTTTTTTTTAACATCTTTATTGGGGTATAATTGCTTTACAATGGTGTGTTAGTTTCTGCTTTATAACAGAGTGAGTCAGTTATACATATATATATGTTCCCATATCTCTTCCCTCTTTGTCTCCCTCCCTCCCACCCTCCCTATCCCACCCCTCCAGACAGCCACAAAGAACCGAGCCGGTTTCCCTGTGCCATGCGGCTGCTTCCCACTGGCTATCTACCTTACGTTTGTTAGT